TATCAGGGTCTCTTTCATTTGAAGTAGTGTTTGTAATTATAGTCTCATTAGGTGGATAACTTCCCTGAGAGGGTAGATCTTCTTTTGCCGATTTAAACGTAGTACTACTTCTACGAGTTATTTAAAGGTTGGTTATTCTGAATGGAGAAGAATTATGACTCAGGTTTAAAAGTGATATATTGAGATAAGTGAGTAAATCGCCTTAAAATTTCTTCTGAAATGATTCAGTTTCCATCTGAGCTTGAATACAATATTCAATTACTCACTCAAGAGTTAGTATTAGTACTTGCTTATATTTAAAAGTATTAAGTGTCTACTTATAATATACTTCTCGTATATTAGTAATTTCTACAGAAATTGCAGTTTGAAAAGCTTTCAAACTTTTGCTGATGTATAATAGTGCTCCTAATGCCTTCTGTGCTCACTCAAAGAAATTGAAAAAAGATTGAGGAATCTTCTTAGGGGTAGGTTACAAGTGATACAGGATGAATCATCTGTTAAAGTAAAATTACCAGTAGCTTTTCTATAGTTACACTCTTGTCTATTGTATATAGCTGAATGATTTTGTTGATACTTAATTAATTCTTTAAAGTTGTTTATCAGGTATTTCTCATAAGTTATTACTGTACCAATTAGGAGAAGATAGTCCTATTGTTGTCACTAAATATTAACGTATAATTCTTGTAAACTATGACTGTTAGATAAGGTGTTCAAATGGTTTATTCTGTTTAATTAAGCAGTAATCTTTCAACAGTTTATAAGTTTTACTTTAGACTAATTATCAAAAGTATTTATATTATTACAATGAGTATAGATTCAATAGATTGTCAGTAATTTATATTTGTAAAATAATGTATTTATTTACAAGTGAAATAATAAAAAATAAAAAAAAAATAAAAAAAAATAAAGAAAATAGAATAAGAAAAGAAAAGAGACGAAATACTAAAATTAGAATGTAATACGATAGGCCAGTTGCCTCTAAAACTACTGAAAAACTAACTTATCGAGTTCCTGTCTGTCTACTTTTTACATGAACTATAAAGCTATCTATTTATATAAAATAAATTACATAACTAACATGTCTAATATGTCAGTTATATCACATATGTCTAATATGTTGTATATGTCAGTTATATCAAATTAGTTGATCTTTTGCGCTACATAAGCTGCATCACATTTATCTATTCACAATATCTAAATCTTTCTAAAATAGTTAAAGATTACTTAGCTATTTTAGGTTAATATAAATATTAATTGTATTATTTTATAATTTATAATTACTTATATAAATTTTATTATTTTTTTTAGCTATTAGTGCATTAATAGAAAAAATATTTTCAGATGAAATAGATTTAGTAGTTCAAAAAAGATATAGTTTAAAAGGTAAAACAATTAACAAATGTATGTGTCTTAAAAAATGGTTAAATTTAGATTAATTAATTAAAGATTATTATAAAGAAAGATAATTATTTTATTTTTAAAAATTAATTTGTTTATTTTTTTATTTTAATATAGATAATTAAGAAAACTTAGTATTTTTAAGTTTTATAAAAGTTTTTATATCTACTTTTATTTTTTTTTTTAAGAATATTTAACTTTTTGTAATTATTCTTTTGCAAATTAAAAATAAAGATAAATTTATTTATTAATATAAATTTAGTATTACAATATTAATAAAATTAAATATTTTTCTAGAATAAAAAATGGTATTAATCGCATTTTTTTTTAGAAAATCGTTCTGAAAGTGAAATTCTTTAAGAAAATCATTTTAGAAGTAAAATCCTTCAAAAAAATCATTTTAAAAGTGAAATTCTTTAAGAAAATCACTCTAAAAGCAAAATTTTTTAAGAAAATCATTTTAGAAATAAATTCCTTTATGAAAATCACTCTAGAAGTTAAATCCTTTATGAAAATCATTTCAGAAGTAAGTCATTTAAGAAAATCACTTTAAAAGTGAAATCCTTCAAGAAAATCATTCTAGAAATGAAATTCTTTAAGAAAATCACTCTAGAATTGAAATCTTTTAAGAAAATCACTTTAGAGTAAAATCCTTTAAAAAAATTACTTCAGAAGTAAAATCCTTTAAGAAAATCATTTCAGATGTAAAATCCTTCAAGAAAATCATGTCAGATGCAAAATCCTTCAAGAAAATCATTTTAGATGCAAAATCCTTTAAGAAAATCACTTTAAAAGTAAAATCTTTTATAAAAATCACTTTAAAATAATTCTCTTAAAGGGGATCATTCTAAAAACGTTTTTCTCAAAAAGAATCATTCTGAAAACATTAGAAATCATTTAAGAAGCATTTCTTTCAAAGGAAATCATTCCAAAAATATTACTCTCAAAGGAAATTATTTCAGAAACATTTCTCTTAAAGAGAATTATTCTGAAAGTATTTCTCTCGAAGGAAATCATTCTGAAAATACTCCTCTCAAAGGAAATTATCTAAAAACTTTTCTCTTAATAAGAATTATTCTAAAAATATTCCTCTTAAAAGAAAACATTTCAGAAATATTTCTCTTAAAGAAAATAATTCTGAGAATACTTCTCTTAATAAGAAATATTTCTCTCAATAGTTTTTCATTTCTAAATATAAATGCAAGCTAAACGAATTAGCTTGCAAGCTAGACTGGCTTGACTTGCCTTGTTTTTATAAATTAAGCTAAGCTAAACTGAAAAAAAGTGACTTAGTTTAAACTGATGACTATCTAAGCCAAGTTGATTTATGTAAAGCTTTATACTTTTCATTCTATAGGAGTTTATTTATATATTGACATGCGTTATTTCCTCATAAATATACAAAATATTTTTTAAAGATATTAATTTAAAATAATCGATTAAGCAAAAAAAAATGTTTTTACACTTGTAAATACTGTAACTATATACAGAATAAAAAATTTATTTTAAAAAAAAAATTAAAATGAAGTTTTTTAGAGTGAAATTGTTAAATTTATTTAAATTAAATTAAAATTAACTATAAGTAAACAGTTATTGATAATTGGTCAATATGATATAATGGTCATATAAATGTATTTATGAAAAATGTTCTAATATATTTAGGACTTGAAATTACTTGTACATGCAGAATATAGAGAAAGTATACTTAGCTCTAAGTCTTAAGCTTAGGATTAAGCTATTATATGCATATAGAGAGGTGTATACTTATAAAGGATGTATTTATAAAGGTGTTACTGTAGTTCTGATTAAAAAGCTTAATATCCTAAATTAGAAAATATATTGTAAATATGGATAATAGAATAGCAAAAGCAAGAACTTATTATATTTTATATAATAATACAAAATAAAATAAAGAAAATTTTAAGAGAATCAAATATGATAGTTTTATATAATTTAATAAATAATTTTAAATTGTCACTTAAATGGTTACATTTAATTTTAAAAAAATATGGATTAGTTTTGTATTATCACACTAAATATCACAAAAATTACTTAAACAAACTGAAGAATTATTAGTGAATTTTAATAATTTTGTCAACTCTTTTAGAAGAGAAAAGTCTTTTAAATATACAATATATTAATATAGATCAAACATTTGTTTATTTTAATATAACTAGTAACTTTACAGTTAATCAAAAAGGTAAAAAATAGTATATATTTATAAAATAGGCAATAACAAAAATAGGTTTACAATTACTCTTATATGTACTGCTAATAAGTTTTTAAAATAACTATACTTTATTTAAAATTTTAGTAGGTTTGCAAATTTTATAAGTTTTTGAATTCACATTAAATTTAGCAACATGTGAAATCATAACCTTACTAAATTTGAATATATTTAATAAAATAAGATCAAATTATCTAATGTGTTAATAAAAATTCCATCTAGTATGGTAGTTTTGTTCTAAAAGAATAGATAGATGAATATTATCTTGAAAGAAGTTTATTGATTACTTTGATGATAATAGATCTGGAAATCTATCAATGTTAATATATAACTCATTCAATGGATACTTAGAAGATAAAATGGACCCTCCGTCAAATATATATATATTTTTTGATTTATATAAGCCGAACATGCTTAACTATATAATAATTTTTTTAATCATACAAGTATAATAAATTACCGAAATATTCAAATAGTTTTTTTTTTGAAAAAAGATCGGCAATCTAAAATTACATAGTCGTGAGATAAGTCCATGACCTCATATGATGATTTATCACGTTACTAACTTAAACTTCTAATCGTAATAAATTATTGTACAAAAGAAGTAATTGTAATAATTCATTTTAGCATATGAAATTAACTTACTAAATAAATCATCAAATATTTACCTTCTTCAAGCAAACAGTATTTTGATACTTACCGTAATTATTCCTTTAACAACTGTATTTTCCCTAGCCATTATTAATAACAATCCTTTTTACATCAATACAGGGACATTTGAAGATATTCACCCGATGTGATCTTTATGAATATTGCATGTTTGGTATTTTAATCAAATTCGTATTTGTTGACATATCAAACTTTTTTTAACATCGGTAAAGACAACCGTTTGCTTGCAACTTTGGTAAATCATCTTGTTCTGCGCCAGGCTGTGTACTAATAAAAAAAGAGATTTTTGTTTAGGAATGTGAGTTATTAACAGTACTTGATACAAAATGCGGAGATTCACCAAGTAGATTAGTAATAAGAGCATGAGAATGTTCGAATGAAACGGTCATCCCAAAATTATAACGTGTCGAATTCAGATTTTATAAATTATTTTAAACCTGGATTACGTATTGATGTACTCCAGATTAAAGTGTTATTCGTCTTGTATGACATTTTGATTTTTGCAGTACTTTGATTATTGTTTACGGCAACGTCAGTATAAAGAAATTTTTAAAGGAAAATACCTTGTAAAACTCTCTCGAATAAGATGCATGTGAAAATCACTATTTAAGGTAATTCATCACGTAGATGACAGGTATTTATTCCCTGGATTTTGACGAATGTATATATATTTATGTATCTAGTTTTTTTTTTTTTCATTTTCTAAATGATAAGAACTCTTTTTCAAAGACGTGCAACTGACCTTACTAACAAAAGAAGTTTATTTTCTATAAAGAACTTTATCATAACAGGGATATTTGGAGGAATTGGATACACTATATACAAAAGATACTCGGATGATTCAAAGAAAACTTTTTCACCAAATAGATTCCTTCCATTAACAGTTAGTGAAATAACGCCAGTAAATCATAATACACGTATATTTCGTTTAAAATTTCCAAGAGCGTTAAAAGAACCAATACCAATTGCGTCTTGTGTCCAAGTTAAAGATGATTCTACACAAATAATGAGGGAATATACACCAATTAGTCCTATCAATGAATTGAATTTTATTGATTTATTAGTAAAACGATATGATAATGGGCATATGTCTAGATTAATTCATAATTTAAAAATTGGTGATAAATTTGAAGTCAGAGGACCCGTTGTTACTTTACCGTATACACCTAATATGAAGAAACATATTGGAATGGTTTGAAAAAAAAATATTATTTTATGGATCTTTTTCTATTATTTTAATATAAATATTAATTTTAATTTTAATTTTTTTTTGTAGATTTGCGGTGGAACAGGAATAACTCCAATGTAAATATTTTGAATCTCTTAATTATTATTATTTCTTACTTTTTAGATAACATTTTTCTTATTCCTAGGTATCAGTTAATCAATTATATACTTCAAAATCCAGAAGACAAAACAAAAATATATTTAATTTACGCGAATATAACAAAAGATGATATACTCCTTTATAATGACTTCAAAGAATTATCCAAAAATCATCCAAACCAATTAAAAATTTACTATACACTCGATAAGCCACCAAAAGATAATTGGACTCAAGGTGTTGGTTATGTAAGTGAAGAAATGGTAAAAGAGAATATTCCTGCTCCAAATGAGGATGTTCTCGTATTAGTTTGTGGTCCAAGCAGGTACGAAAAAAATATATATGTATATATATATATTTATTTAATTAAGTTACATAAATAAATATCTTATATTATTTATAGGATGATGCGTAAGATTAGTGGTGGAAAGGCATCTGATATGTCTCAAGGACTTGTTAGGGGCATATTGAAAAAACTTGGATATACACAAGATCAAGTCTTTAAATTTTAAAATAGATGACAATCCTATACTTTCAGCAAAGGAAATAGATCCTTTAGAATTTTTTTTTTTTTTTTAGCGTAATCTTCCCGAAATCAACTATCTATGTTATAGTTGATTTTTTCTACATTGTTATGATGAATCTAACAAATCGGGAAAATAAATTAGCCTGATATATTGCACAATAAAACTTTGACAAATATTTATTAATATTATTTAAATGGTTTACTGAATTAAACAAATCAGATACCATACTATACTTAATCATTGAAAATTAATTGTGCAAATTGCATATGAATTTTCACGCTTTATATGTTAGAAAAGAAACCCCCCTTAATAAATTGAATCGATTTTTATTTAAAATTAAATTAATGTATATATATTTATTTATTTACCTAAATATTCTTTCTTTAGCTGGTTGTTTCTTTTACAGCTATGATAAAATCATTTTGATATTTAGGGGGTGAGTGCTGGAAAAAGGGATCAAAATTGTAAAAAAAAAAAAAAAACAATTGTCTTTTTTAAAGTTATATCCAATGCCATTTTTTCAATTTGGTCCCTTTTCTCGGCACTCACACCATTTATGAAAGGGAATTGACAGTTATTGATTCCTGCTTTATTTTTGTGGTTAAAAAAACGACATCAATCCAAAAGTTCGGATTGAAGACTATTTTTAGTCGGGATGATGTTCCATATTTTAAAATAATATATTACGCGTTCCCTTTCAAAGAGTAATGTATCACGTGAATACATACAATCAATTAAATAAAATTAGTAAGCTCGTACGTGGGAAAATCCCAATATTAATGATATCATTGTTTGGCATCATGTGAAGTTTTAACATCACACCCTGATTGTAATTATTTTGATAACAATAAAATGAATCTATAATTGGAAAAAAATTTTTTTTGATAACTTACATAATGCATTGAAAAAAAAAAAAAAAAAAAAAACTAGAATTGTGACAGGTTTGGCTGATGAGAAGGAGGAATTGTGGGGTATTTGTAAGATCCAAAAGGATGATGGCTGAATGTATTGTTGTAATTTATGTAATTCTTTTCTGAATATGGTTACATATGGGGTTCATGTATGTGTGATGTGAAAATGAAATAGAATGGCGCACCTAAAAATATATTCGTACTTTACCGAAGACAATATAAAAATGTATTTATTGAATAAACAATATTATGTATTTTATAAACCATGTGGTTTTCTTGATTAATTTGAGGTGTCAAAAAGAAATAAAAAAAATGGTGATGCATTTATATATATAATCGAATCATTTCCATTATCTTTCTGATTTGGTTAAGAAAGAATTAAAAATAAAATAGAGTTTTATATCATAAAATCTCCATGCATAAACGATTTAATTTGTTCACTCGAAATGAAAAAAAAAAAATTGGATGCATTTGTACATGGAAGAAAACACGCACGGGTTGGTTCTTTTTGTGCCGTTTCAAAATTTCGTAATTTAACTCGAGAACATTATTATCACAAGATTTAAATGCGTGTAGGATATATTATATGTATGCGTGTAATCAAAAAATAAATATCAAAAAGTCCTCATAATAGATATGAAAATGGAGGGAAATATGTTGATTGGATAAAGTTATTGTCCAAAAAAGGAAACAACAAGGAAGTTATTTCCAAATTTGGCATTCTGCAATATCAATCATGTTAATTTCACTAAGAACACCTAATTTTTTTTCTTACATGATCTTCCACAATTGTGTTCAAATGTTTAATTAACCTCATTAAGCTCAACATTAAACAAATTAAAATCCGAGTCATAATGTTCGACATGTGTAAATAATGTTTTAAATTGATTTACATTACATGTTTAACAAAAAGGTAAATCTGTACATTAATGAATATTAAAAAAATAATAAAAATATGTAGTGTCAATTAAAATAATGATTTATATTATTTTAGGGTTAAAAAAAAAAAAAAAATATGATCTTTATATGTCATGTTTTATGAACATCAACTTATATTCAAGTTACTAAAAAGAAGAAATTAGAAGCAAAATTTGTATATCTTAATTGACTCATCTTTACGTAACGACGCGCTATGATCCCTAATTTCCTTTTATCAAAAGGTCAATTCTTCAAAGTTACCTTGTTTTGGTAATTTTTACGAACATAATCAAACGTTACACCCTGCGGACGGAAAGCTGCCCGTTTGGTTCGAACGAGATAAAATCAAGTGCTTTTCGTTCACCACATCCTATCAAAGCACATAATTCACTTGTCCGGATTGGAATGAAAAAAATCATACCACCAAAATAATCGCGCCGCGTAAAGGTCTATCCGTCCTTTATCGTCTTTCGTCAATTGCCACAATTTTTTTTTTTCTTTAAAAAACATTTGTAATGTTTAGGTTTAAATTGTAATCATGTGGTGAATGCCAACACAGTCTAAAACTTCGGAATTTGTTACTAGTTTAAAAAAAAAATAAATTATCTATTTGACCTTTTTTCATGTAATGTGTGTGATGTTGTGCATATCAAAAAAGAGTTAATTTATTAAAGTGCGACAACCTTTTTTTTTAAAAAAAAGAAGTCGTATGACCCTACTGACCTTTTAACCCCTTTATTTAGTTGGCATCTCCTGTTAATAACCACAATTTTTTTAATTTTTCCACAACATCACGCCCCCCATTCTCTGTTCTGTTCAGCCAAAAAATATAATAAAAACTCAGCCAAACTTTTTTTTTTCTTGCCAAAAAAGTAGGCATTAATTTTCTTATTTTTTAACTATATACTTTTAATATAATTACTTTTTTTTTAAAAAAAAAAATAATTTTCTTTTTCTCTTTCGTAATAAAGAAATAATAAAAAGGAGGAAAAAAAAAAAAAAAAAAAAAAAAAACCTAGTAATAATAATAATAATAATAATAATAAAGGAGAGAATTATACCAATTTTTTATTAAAAAAAAAAAAAAAATATCTTGTCGAGAATTATCGTTCGATAATGACCGAAATAACTCCTGCACCCAAAGAAGAGCCCACTCCAATTGAGCTCGAAAAGAAATCTGATGCAAAGGTAGAGACGAAGTCTGAGGAGGTAACTCCAGCTCGGTCTGAAGGTGAAGTAATTGCTGAGCCTGAAACCGAAGAAAAGAAAGAAGAGGAGCCTCCGACTATAAATGAAGGATACTTACATAAACGAACTCCCAAAAAATTTATGAAAATATGGAGTAAATCTTATTTCGTTGTTGGAACTGATCATATTGATTTGGAAAACCTTCGTCTTTATCACAAGAAAAACGTAAAAAAGAGTCTTGCACCGACGACAACAAAAGTTCCTGGCATGGTAAATGCAACTTCTACTACTACTACACCTGCAATTACTGAAAACCCTCCAGCTACCTCAGAAACTGCTCCCGCTGAACCTGAGGATGTTGAAAAAGTTATTCCCAAACCCGAAGAACCCGCTGTGGAAACCATTGAACCTACCAAAGCTGAAGAGCCTGTCGTAGAAGCCACTGAGCCTCCAAAGGCTGAAGAATCGGTTGTGGAAACTGCTGAAGCTCCTAATACAGAAGAAGTTCCTGTTGTTGAAACTACTGACCTTCCCGTTGTTGAAACTACTGAACTTCCCAAACCTGAAGAAAAGGTCGAAGCTGCTTCAACTGATGCTGAAAAGGTTAATGAAACAAAAGAACCTGAAGACAAAAAACCAGAAACCAAGGAGCAAACTGTCGTGGAAGAGGAAGCCAAACAAGCTGAAACCAATGTATCATCAAACTTTTATTATAAGAACATTGCCCATGCTACAAAAACTGGTAATGGGTTATTATTCTACTATAAATCAGATAGTGATGCCCGTAATAAGAAACCAATTGGTATAATTAACTTGAAACAAGTCGATGGTGTTGATAAGGTTAAAAATCTTGAAGGCGCCGGAAGACAATTTGCCTTCACAATTGAAACAAATTATCGTCTTTTCGAACTTTCTGCTGAATCAGAAGCTGAACGAAATCGTTGGATAAGAACAATCAAGGAAAAAATTGAAGAAGTGGACAAAATCGATGTTGAAAGTTCTGATGAATATAAAGCTACTTACAATAAGCTTGGTAAGTTTATTTTATTTACTACATTCAATAATATGCTTATATGTCAACCAAATCTTAATCTCGTTTAGAGAGATATTTTCTTTTAAAGCGTGAAATTTGATATTAACTTATGACAATTTTAATTTTAATTTTATTTTGAATTTAACAGAAAAAGGAACCGCATTTGTTCCTCAAAAGTCTGACAATATTACGTCGGATACCGAAATGTTTTCCGGTGATGAAGATATTGAAACTCCAAAACGTGATATCAATAATGTTGATGTCAATAAACGTAGATCTGTTTTTAGCAACTTGTTCTTTGGTAAAAAGCCTTCGACAACCGATACTTCTACCTTAGTAACCACATATGAAACTATTAATGAAGATGGTACTAAGGAAGTTATCAATGAAACTACCGAGATTATAACTTCTGAAGAAGTTTTAAAAACCGAAGAGATTAAAACCGAAGAAGTTCCTCCTAAATCTCCTCATAAACCTAGTAGATTTCCTTTCAATATTTCCTTTAGTAAGAAAGTTGAAAAAGGTCCTGATACTAAAGAAGAAACGACAGAAATTAAAGAGGAAGTCGTCGTTAAAGAAAAAGCTACCGAGGAAGCTACTAAGGAAGCTACCAATGCTGAAACCAGTGCTGAAACCAGTGCTGCTGCTATAACTGCGAACGGTGAAGAAATTCCTGAAGAAAATAAAGAAGAGAAAAAGAAAGGGTGGATTGAAAATTTCAACCCTTTCAAGAAAGCTGCCGGAAAAGAGGCTCAAAAAGAGGAGATTACAGAAAACGAAGAAACGAATACTGAACAAACCAAAACTGATAAAACCAAAACTGATACTGCTGATACTCCTACTGAAGAGGAAACTCGACAAAAAGAACACAAGGACGGTATCTTTAAGAATTTATTCAAAGGCAAAGCAAAGGACGAAACTCATCATGAAACCAAAGCTGAAACTACTGAAGGTGATAATTTTTTTAAAAAATTCCCAGAGTCCGTTTAATGTGTTGTTTACTTACACAAAAAAAAATTTATATTCTTATAAAACTTTAGTTGTCAATGAAGCTCCTGTTGAGGATGCTACCATTGAAGCAAAAGGCGAAGGAAAAACAGTAACAGAAGAGAAATCCGTAGAACCTTCCACAGAAAAACAAGAGGATCATACAAGAACCATACTAGGTGTTAAATTACCATTTGGTGTTAAAAGTAAACATACTTCTGACGAAAAACCCGAAAAATCTGAAGATAAAGTTGAAAGTAAGTCTGATGAAAACGTAGAACAAAAAGAACCAGCGAATACGGAAGCTAAGGAGGATGACAAAAAGGATGACAAAAAGGAAAAGAAGGAAAAATCAAAGAAAGAAAAGAAGAAAAAAGATAATGAACACGAGAAAGAAAAGAAAGAAGGTGAGGATTCATCGTCGTCAGAATCGTCGGACGGTTCTTCCGGTGGAGTTGTTCGCAGAGTCACCAAAATCTGGAGAAGAAATAAATCACACAAGACTGATTCATCTCATCGGGAAGTCACGATTGAAGCATCAGAGGAAAGCGAAGAAAAAAAGGAAGTCGAAACTTCCGACGCAAAATCCACCGAAAAGGTCGAAAAGGCTCCAGTACAAACTTCCGAACAAACAATACCAGAAAGCTCTAACGAATCTACAGAAGAAAAGGTTAAAAAGGATGAAGAGAAAAAGAAAGAAAAGTCTTCGATATTCGAAAATTTTAGGAGGTTAATGTTTACATTATTTTTTTGTTATACGTTTTAAAAAAAATTATAATAATATTCATGTTATTTTGATTTTGGATATTTAGAATAAGTAGTGGTATCGGTAAACGACAAAATTCTTTACCACAAGATTCTACGCATGAAAAGGTTGAATCAACAAATGCAGCTGCTGTTGCATCAGCTTCGGAAGCAACTGATGTCGAAAATGCTGATAAAACAGCAAAAATTGTAGAGGAAGAATTAGATCAACAACTCACGTTTATTGACGGACCAAAAAAAGGAAACCTTTATAAACAAACTCAATTTCTCAAAAATCTCGAAATTCGTTACTTTGTACTCTCTAAAGATAAACAATTAATCTACTATCGATCTGATAAAGATCCATCAGGTTCAAAAACGATTGAACTCTCTGATAGTAAAGTTGGAGTAAAGGTACTTGAAGGAAAACCTCATTACTTGTTTGACCTCGAGACGAAAACAAGAACATTCAGGTTAGGTGCTGAAACTGAAGAAGAACGTGATTCATGGATCCAAGCGCTCAAAGAGGCCGGTGTTGCCCTTGTACCTGCACCTGCTGAAAAGGAACCAACATCCAGTAAAAAAACCGAAGAAGTTTCCACAAGACTCGAAGTTACCAAGAGTGAAACTAATCTTCAAGAAGAAATTGATGCCGTTGCTGCGTCAGTAGCTGAAACCCAAGAGCCAACGACGACATCCGATATTGTTGTAGAAACTAAAGAAGAGAAAGAAACTACTGCATAGAGAAATTTAATCGTAATAATTCATAAATGATGATTCTTTTTTATTAATTAATGTCTGAATTTTCATTATTATCATGTCTAACTTCACTTTAAATCGAAAATATTAAATGATTCCCTTACCTATCTACACATGCATGTTTTTAACACTTAATACGCGAGCATTATAAATAACATATTTCACAAAATTACAAAATATCATTATTATTATTATTATTATTTATTATTATTATTATATAAAAAAAAATATGTTCTTTTACATAATTCTCGTGTTGAAGGTGAAAAGTAAAATAGGCTTTGGAGCTATTAATTCATTAATTATTTTGCATTTTATCCTTGGTTTTTTAAATTAAAACAAAAGTTTTAACGTTTTATTATTATGTGAATTTCGTTTTAAAAACACATTTTATTTTTAGATTGATTTTAATTTAATTGTTATTCTTATTTATAAATATAAATATATAATATTTAAAAATTTTTATATTAAATAAACAAATTATTAGTATTTGAAAATATTAATATTTAATATTTTAAAACAAATTTAAAAATAAGGATTAATCTAACAACTTGCTAGAAATAGAATTTTTTGTTTTTTTAATTACAAATATAATTACTTTTTATTATTATTATATCTAAATATAAAGTTTAATTTTACTAATAGTTATAGAGATCTAATAAAATTAGACTTTAATAATAAATAAACTTAAAAATTAAATCTTAATTAATGTTAACTTGATTAAATAATATAGTAATATAATCTATTATTATTATAATTCTAATAATATTATTCATTTAAATTATTCAATCTTCTTATTATTGATTCATAATTTTATATGCATAAAAATTGATTTAGTATATTGAGATGATTCTTATTAATAGCTAATATAATAAGCTTTTTATTTTATCTTAAAATAGTTTTTGGTATTTTATTAGTTTATCAACAACAAATTTAGCAGTTATTATGAAACTTCAATTAAATTTATGTTTGTTATTAGTTTAATCATTTATGAAGAATATTTTTTTTTTATTAATTTAAAAAGTTTTGTAAAGTAATTCTTTTTTCTTTTTAATAGTAAATCGCAATTTAAAAATATATTTTGTTTTGTAATTTTTGCTTTAGCGAGTTTTGTTGATAAACTATGAATTGTTTAATCAATTTTTTATTATTATTCTGTAATTTTTTATTGTATAAATATTGCTTCTTTTTTATAAATTGTATTTTTAATAAATTCTATTTTTTTTTTTTTTTTTTTGCAAGAATTGTAATAAAATCTACTTTAAGATAAATCATTATTTTGTAATAGACTGTGAATTGTGATTCAGGTAATTCTTTCATCAAATTTTTTATATTTTGATTTTATTTCTATTAATATATTCAAGAACTTTAAAAGATCTTTATTATTGAATTTATCAATTAAGTTAATTAAAGTATGCTTATGTTTATTTTGGGCATTTCTCGTTTTTTTTTTTTAATTAATTATATCGTCCTTTTTTCGAGGCATTGTTAAATTTAAAATTTTGCTTTGTTACATAAAAAAATTTATTTGATCTAAAAATTTCATTATCCATGAAAAGTAATACTCCTTATCGGATCGAAAAAAAAATTTAAATTAATGATCGTCAAGTGTATTACTATGTTGTAAATTAACCAAGAAAACTTGTAAATTCTGTGGTTATATCAAGGGTTTTGCTGTCCCCAATGCAAAACGAATCTTGACAGAGGTATCAAATGGTGTTCGCAATATTCTTCAATACCTTACGAAAAAAGAGTTAGCTTCCTTACAGGACTTGTTATTGCATAAATTTAGACTTTACTTAATGTGAAGTAATGATAGGTTTTAATATAGACGTTGACTTAATATGGAATTAAATAATTCCTTTTTAAAACAATGTGGATAATAATTGTTAGAATGACATCATAAAACAGAATCCCTCGTTGAATTCAAAAAGGTATTAAAATGGAAAAGCGTACTCTTTCTTTCTTAAAAGATTTATAATAATTGTTATAATATAATTAATTACATTTCAAGTAAATAAAGTAATAAATAAATTTCCTGAATTTCTTAGCATAATCATTCCGGTTTTTCTTCAGATGGTTGATTTTCTTCTTGTTGCTGTCCTTCGCTGGCTGTCATACGATGCCAAACATATTCTTGAGCTATTATTTGAACGGCTAATTTTATAGCAGAAACCATTTTTGCTTCTACCCATTCATTTTCTTCATATGGAATATCTATCCAACTTGCAGGCAATGCTTGGGAAACAGTCTTAAAGTTTAGATTATGAGTTGGATCAGTAAGAACGATAACGTAATATAGATAATTTTCGGGGTCTATTGTGATTTCGTTATTTGTTGGTAAAGAGTAAGGGTTTGCTTTTGTGGGTTGAATTGCCATGAAAACGGGACATGTTGTAGATGGAATATCTCTTAACAACTCTTTTTGATCTTGTTCTTTGATCTTTTCGCTTATTGAGGGAGGTGGTTTATAATGTTTCTTGATAATTTGTTCAATATTAGCCTAATAATAATAATAATAATATATTAGCTATAATTAATCTTAAAGATACTAGAATAATAAAATAGTTTTTCACCTTTGCAATTCCTACAGCTTCAATAAAACCTTCACAAATATTTAAATCCCTACATGAGTCATCTTCTGAATCGCGCCTTATCGATTCATTTGCTTTTCGTACTACAATATCTCCACCCTCAACTTGTTCCATTACTTTCATAAACGACCTATATACAATGGATTCTATTCCCACATAACCTACCATATCATGTGTTAACCATACTTCTACTATTTCATATTGTGAAATTGGAGGAACTACAGCATTAACAACAGTTGTAAGAGTATTTAAACCTAGAGTTCTTAGGTCATATCCTTTTTTTTTTTAAAAAAAAAAATAAAATAATTATCAATGATGATTGATTATTATACGTCTAGTTATACAAGATTTATATTAAAAAAAAAAAAATTAATTAATTAATTAACCTATTTTTCCAATTGCTTCTTTGTTTAGAATTCCACGAAATTTTTCTTCAATTTTTTTAGTTCCTTCATTTGTACGTACAGTTTCAACTGTAGCCAATGCCCCTTTAACAGAGGTATCAACGACAGTACTCGCAGTCTTGTAAGCTGTAGAAGCCGATGCCATGAAACCACCCCAAGACCAAGTCCCACTCTGCTTTATGTCTTGATTCGCATCTGATAATTGTGATGGTTGTGTTGATGGTTCAGGACGTTCTGCCGAATGTTCTTGACTTATTGAAACATTACTTTGGCTATCTCCTTTTGAATTATTATTCTGATGTTTTGAAAACTGGTCAATAAAATCAAGAACTGACTGGGTATCAGTAACTTGACCTTCTGTTGTTGGATTAGAAGCATCTGTAGTTTGTGAGTATGTGTCTAATGTTTCAAGAAACTGAAGAACATCTTCTCCAGCATTTGATGTCGGTTTAGACTCTGTCATTTTATCAAACCTCTACGTCCTTAAAAATGAGTAATTATTTTTAAAGACGGGCACAAAATTTTCTGGATTATAATTGGCTATGGAATTTTATAATTTTTGATGCGGGTAACTTGTAGATATTCACAATCGGGCCTTGCATGAATTTGCTTAATCGTATTTTTTTTGGAAACGGATACTAAAAATTAGACTTTATTACTTTAACTGCTATTAAAATCTTCATTATAATCACTTTTGAACCAAATCGTAACTATGTTGTTGACGAGTTTAGTCTTTAACAAGGGAGTACGATATGATTTGAACTTCACAGCAATATTCCCTAATCATAATTTGACAATATGTTAGGGATGGCGTTCTTTGATAGTAATCCTTCGATGTTCCGAAAGGATACGAACAAAACTATGATGACGATACGATTTAGAGCTGACTCTTTTGAATCGATTTTTAAAATTGATAAAAATTGTTTGTAACTCACGTAAATTCAGAATATGCTGAATTTAGAATCAGTTCCAGAACCGACTCTGAGTCGCTCTTTTTGAACCGTGGTATTTGATTAACTGAGGCAGGTCCTGATTTTTTTTTTTAATCTCTATAATATTTATAACATTAGAGAAAAATACATTCTTTATTAATATAAGTATTTGACATTTTCCACCTTTTTATTTTAATTTACTTTCGATACATTCTTCGTTACATCTTTCGTTACATCTTCATTATATCGTATATTTTATTATGCAAAATTCTCGCTTTAAAGTAACAGATCAACAAGATACTCTAGCTTCAAACTAAATATCAAATCAATTTATATTTTTTGCTTGCAAGTATTTCTATCATAGAAACATTTGGTAAAAAATTCTTTTTTTTTCTAAATTTTCAAAACTAAATACTATACGGATTTTATGATTTAATTTTTTATTTTTAAAACTTCTCCTCCACACCTTTAAGTAAGTATTAATCCTTATGTCTAAGCTAAAATGTAATAGTGAATTAGATGAGAGAGAAACAGAAAATTTTTTCACCCCACGTGACCTATAATTTTGGCCTAAATTAGCCGCCCGAAATTATCGAAATTATCAATCAAAAATAATGATTTACAATCACGATCACGCGTTTTACAGTACTAAACATTTGTCTTTAGCATATTAGCATATTGAGATATTTTTTTTATTGTTCGTTTAATCGTTTCTTTTTCGTTTTTTTTTTCTTTGCTATTAAATCTTAAACACGCCTGTCAAGACTCAAGAGGTACGGTAATTAAAAGAAAAAGAAACTTATAATATGCTCATTATTAAAAGAAGTAAACTTAAAACAAAGAAAATAACATTTTTTTTTGTGTAATAGACTATTACCATATTCGTCGTTGCTTAAAGAAAGAAAACAAAATAATTGTTAATATGCTTATTTATTTAAAAATTACTTTAAAAATCAAATTTATTATATTTTTGATTAAGTTGTTACACATTTTAAAAGCGTTATTCTAATTTTTTTTATATATTTTCTTAGATTATAATGATGAATTCAACGCCCCTTGTATCTATAATAATGTGCAGAGGGTGCGAAAAAAATCTCCTTTCTAACTCATTTATTGCCGTTAATGGAAAATCTTATCGTACATGTAATACCTGTCGCACCCAAAATAAGGCAGTTTATCAACGAAAATTAATTTCTAAACAGGAAAATGATGCAGATAATGATCAAGTAGTAGTGGAGTTTCACGATTTTTATGACTTTTTTGCGCATAATTATTATGTGTTTGAATGTGCAATCCACGATAAAGATGAACAAGAGAATAGCGAAAATTTAGAATTTAAAGTTTCGTGTATTGTGAATGTTAATATTTTAGAAGGAAACCCCAAGGATCAAGTTTGACCGTATTATAGAAATAATTTCTGATATTGATGAATATACTTGGATGTAATGACTTGATATATATTTAATTAAACTTTTTTTATTTTATTTAGTTTCTTATTTTAATTATAATTAATTTTAAAGATATCACGAAGTATATAATGCAAAAAAACCTAAAGCAACAACGTATTATTACTATTGTTCTCAAAGAGGTTGTCTAGGTGAAAAACAAAAGAAAAATCCCGATATTAATAAGCATCGTGATAGGCAATCAATGCGCCATTTCTCTTGTAATGGTTGCGTTAAGATTACTATTTACGAAAATTCCACATTATCCAAAATAGAAATGAAACATATTTTACATTCAATACGGTCAAATACTTCAATTTCAGAGGATATCAAAACTTTTATATTAGAAAATATAGATCTACTCCCACGAGAAATCTATAAAAGACTTATCAAACGCTGTCTAAATACTAATATTCGTCAAAAACAAATTCATTTTTGATGGGTAGAACTTGGTAAAAACTGATACAAGCGAGATGAAGATGCTTTTATTTCTGCAATTAAATGGCTTAAGGAGAAGTTTTATGAAATTATATTTTACAAAGAATCACCAAAAGCTTTTGGCTTTTTAACTGAATTGTGGAACATATTACAAAATTCTCAATTTTTAATTGGAATAGATGCTACATGTAAGTAAGCATATTAAAGTATTATTATATATCTTTGTAGTTATCCATATAAGTAAATAATTTATATGCATATTTCATTTTTTAGATAACACAAACAATTTAAAATTTGAGCTATATATTATTCAAGCCGAAATTAATGGTATGAGATTTCTGATGGTGTATTTATTCCTTAAAAATAATGGAAATTGTAGCAATGGTGTACGAACTGGAGTCATCATTGACTTTTTAGCTCAATTGAAAATTTGCAGACTTAAACCAAATTTTCTTATAACGGATAAGAATTTTGGCCAGATCTCAGTTACATATTTTGTATGAAAGAATGTTAAAATACAACTGTGCCTTTGGCACATAAAAAAGGCAGTATTAGCAAAGTTATCAAGTAGTAAAAATTCACAAGTCAATTATAATGGTCTGGCAGCCCAACAAAAATTTTTATTTATCAACCCTTCATTTAAGCCAACTTCAATTAAAGACAAAAGCTGTTTTTATCCAAAAGAATTACATCAATTAATTTGAAATTTTATGAATAAACACTTATATTGGTATCCAATAATTCCAACAATAGATGATCAATATCTTTCAGATGTCATTTGGATAATGGCAATAGAAGAAGTATATAACTTTTGTGTTCAACACTTCTTATCACACGTTTGAACATACTTATGGAATAAGTAATATAGTTCAGAACATTGGAAATTATGGCTAAGAGTAGGTTGCTGCAATAAAATTTTCATATTGAAAACAAATATGTTTATGAAAGCACATTGGAAGGTTCTAAAGCATGACTTTTTATATAAATTTTTTCATTCACGCTTAGATTTGGTTGTTTTTGTTATTATGGAGCAGGTAATTCCTCACAATCAAAGGAATTTAAGTATTTTTATTAAAAAAAGAGAAAGCAAAATGGCAAAAAGTTTTCAAAAGAGAATGAAAAAAACTTTTGACATAAACAATTAATAATAATACATATTTAACTGATATTAATAATTGGATTTATGAGTGTTCAACATTTTTGATTAGTCGATTTGTCATTTGTAAACATCTCATAAAATGTAAAGGAATAATATCTATTGAATTTTTTGATTAAGTTTACCATCGTTACCAATATCCATTCCTTGGAATTTTGTTGCTACCAATAGGTGATATCAAAATATCTATAATAAGTTTAGAAGGTGATAATTTATATAAAAATGATGATTTATAAGATTGTGAAGAGTTATATAATCAACTTATAGCTACAACTGAAAGAATACTTGAGATTCTTAAAAGTAATATTAGAAATAATTAATAATGTTCATAGTACAATCTTTTATTAATTATGTATTTAATTTTTATTTAAAATAGATCAATGAGATAAAAGAAATTTCAGATAGGAGAAAAGTATTGAAAAAAATTTTAAGTCAATAGAAATTATGATGTCTGAAATTACTTTATACAAAAGAAAAAGAATAATACCTTGAATATTTAAGCATAATATATTATTTTTTGATTGATTTTTTAAATATTTACAAATTTTTTGTTAATTGTTAAGATAATAAAATTGTATATTCATTGAATTTTAATATTAAGATATTTATAATTTTATTTTTATTTACTTAGGAATAATTATTCAGAATGTATTCAAACATTAGATTTTTACCAGATTTTTTTACAATATTAAAATTTTGAAAAATAAATTTGAGTATAATTTTTCTATAATAAAATATCACTAAGTAATTAAATAAATCTTATTAATTATCAAAAATCACTATATAATATTATAGTAAAAAAGAGATATTTCTTAAAACTCATTTATTTTCATTATAATGATAATTTTTAAGGATTTGACCTTTTAAATATTAACTTTTCGGTAATAGAGTTTAATCAAAAATTTTAATAATTTGAGCCAACCAACTCAGGCAAAATTACAGATCACGTGAGGATGAAAAAATTTTCTAGCGATACTGAAGTAGATAATGGGAATGATCTGATCTAGACTAAAAGATCATTAATCCGTTTATAAGACTAGTTTTATACCAATCTTTTTTGGGACAGATTGACAGGATTGATCATAGGATCAGTCTTTTTTAACGGTCTTATAAAAGATAGTGTAATCAGATTGGATTAATAAATATGACGCAGAAGATTGCATATCCAAATATCAAACATATCGAATATATTTGATAAATCTGACATAACTGATATATTAGATATATAAGATATATTAAATATATTTGATATATTTGATATATTTGATTTATTTGTTATATTCATCTATATGTTAAATTCTATATAAATAGAGAATGATAAAATTATGTAAACTTCAATTCACTTTTAGTTCACTTTTAGTTTTCTTTTAGTTTTACATTTAGATACACCTTTAGTAATACTTTTAGATGCATCTGGCCTAACTCTTGCATTTAGTACTTTTAGTCCTTTTAATTTCTTTATTTTCTTTCTTATTTTCTTATCTCTTTATTT